GCGGGCCTGTGCACACACCTTGTTCAGGACATCCTTCTGAGAGCCCAGGTACAGGTGAGGCAGGATGCGGGTCAGGCCCACGCTGGGCACGGGCAGGCAGGGCTGGGAGAGGCTCACGGGCAGCAGGGCGGCAGGCTTGCCCTCACAGAGGCCGGGGAAGCAGGAGGAGAAAGTGGCAAAGCCCCCTGCAGAAGGCGGAGCGAGGGCGCAGTCAGGCAGGGGGCTGGCTGGGGCAGGAGAGAGCCCAGGGCACTGACCCCACTGTGTCCCAGCCACACCCGACCTGGCCCCCACGGCTGACCCTGTGGCCTGAGCGCCCCGTCTCTGTGCTGGGTGCTGCGGGGCCATCTCACCAGGCTGCAGCTCAAAGCTCGTGCCGTGGGCAGTGACGGCCTCTCCTACGCCCACATTCCTCCTCGCGCTACTTAGGCGCTGGCCCCACCGAGGACGCCACTGTGATGCCCATAAAATGGGGGGCCGCGGCGGCGGTCAGCTCAGCACGTGCAGGGCCCAGGCAGGGACAGGCTCCGAGGCCGTGCTTGGGGGGGAGTGGCTTCTGTTGAGGGTGTGGATCACACAGCCTCTCCATACCTGTGGCCGGGGCCAGGCTGGGCCTTCCACCTCCCCCCTGGGCTGATGCAATACCTCCCTGTCTCCATCTGGCTGGGAGCCCCAGGCCAGGCTTGGGTGCCAGGACCAGGAAGCAAGAGCTTCTGAGGAGGCCCTCCCCCTCCTCCTGGGCATGACATCACCCACTGGAATTGGCACAACCCGCAGGGGCATCTGCGCTCCGGTTATGGCTCCATTCCACCAGCAAAGACCAAGGAGCCGGGCACCCTGGGGACTGGGAGCACGCAGGGCAGGCAGTGGGCACGCAGACTACATGTGGCTGGCACGTGCCCTGCCACTGTGCCTGCAGAGCACATCTGAGTCCTGGGCCGTGAGTCGGAGGAGGGAGCCCCTCCCCCCGGCCAGAATGACCGAGTGGGAGTCTTCCTGGGTATCCTCTGCCTCAGTGAGTGACCAGGGCAGAGCTGCTCCTCCTGCCTGCCACACACCAGGGTAGTAAGGCTCGTGGAAGATGACCGTGAGGACACACAGGACAGACTCGCTCACACCCGGCCTGGCTGGGTGACCACTGACTTGGACCAGCAACTGGGCAGTGCCCAGGGGCTGCCAGCTCTTGGTAGAACGAGGGCGGGACCTGGGGCTGACCACACTTCTGGGGACACAAGCCCCAGGGCACCTTCCCTGCTCCCAGCCCCAAGGGCGGTTGTTTTGGGTCTTAGTGGACCAGCCCATCACGTGAGACAATGGGGCCAAGGCCTACCCCATCCCGCCGGAGGAGGCAGGAGAGTGAGGTGGGGTCTCAGGCCCCAGGACCCCCCAGTGCTCTCTCCTGCCCTGCTGGAAGGAAGCAGCTGATGCCAGAGACCTGGCTGATTCCCAAGGACAGGGGCCTGGGGGCCTCAGCCTTCACCCCGGCCCAGCTCAGGGTCCAGTTTGTACAGTCCCCCAACCAGATGCCTCCAGTGCCCCAGCGAAGGCCTGACTTCTGGGGGGCATGGAGATGAGGGACCTCCGGGCTGGGGAGGAGGTGCCAGCCTTGGAGGAGAAGCCATCCTTTCCTCGGCTGCAGCTCCCAGGCTCCCAGGCTTGGAGGCCGAGCTGGGTCCTGTGGTCAGCTCCTGCTCACCACCCAGAGCGGGGGACCCTCCATGTTCACAACAGCCTGGCCAAAGGGGGGTCCCACTAGTCTCTCTGCAGGTGCAGAGACCTGCCTGTCTTTGCTGCAATCCTCAGGAAAGGCCCCCAGGACTCCCTGGGTAGAGCCAACCGGCTTGGGGTGCCCCCTACAAACCCCTATGGATGCCAGGCCTGGCAGGGTACCCAGCCCCTGGGCAGCTTCNAGGCTCTGGGATGGGCGGTGGGGAGTGAAGCAGGGCCAGCAGACCCGGGCCCTCCGCAGGTCCCCGCACCCCAGGCTTGGGAGGCGCCCCTCCCCCCAGGCATCCCTAAGGCCACCTTCCTTCAGGAGGCCCCCCTTCACCAGCCCCGCTGCCCTGCCCGCACAATGAGATCCTGGGCTCGCGCAAGCGCATGGCCGGCG